CCCATAAAAATCAATCAAATCATGTAACGTGAATGTCATACAGTGTCTTGCTCGAGGAAAAAAAACAAAAAAAACAAGTTGAAAGCTTACCGAGCCGCGGAAGAGACACTGTTTCTCAAGCGCTTTCCGTGAGCGTGATTCGAGACGGAGTGAACACGGACAAAGGCGTTTCATTAATTCATAACTGAATGACCTGGATTCATCCAGAAGACTCAGCAACCCCTGCTGCTCTCTCTAACAACTTCTCTTTCTCTCACACTCCCCATCAGGTTGGGTGGGGTGGGGGTATTGGTCTCCTCATTTCTAACAACTGGAAATACTCAACCCACTCTCCCTCCCCCTATGCAATAATAACTCATTTGAATCTCATGCTATTACCGTAATGGCTCCTATAAAACTCCATGTTGTAGTAATTTATCGCCCTCCTGGTCAACTGGGCACCTTTATAGAGAAGCTGGATGGGCTGCTGTCCTCATTCCCTGAGGATGGCAGTCCACTTGTAGTCTTTGGCGAGAAACCTTATGCTGCAGACTTCCACTCACTTCTAGCTTCATTTGATTTCAAACGGCTTACCATCACATGCACTCACAAATCAGGCAACCAGCTTGACTTAATTTGCACACGCAATTGTATTGCAGACAACATTTTGGTAAAACCCATACACATCTCTGATCATTTCTTTATTACATTTAACCTACATCTTACTACCCGTGTGCCACCAACCCCTCTACCGGTTACTTTTAGGTGAATCCTACACTCCCCTTCACCCTCCCATCTTTCCTCTGTAGTGTCTTCCTCTCTTGCCTTACCCACCCTTTTCTCATCTCTGGATGTGAATGCAGCAACTAATACTTTATGCTTCACTTAAACTTCTTGTCTAGACGATATATGTCCTCTCTCCTCCAGGCCAGCACATGCTACCCATTCTAAGCTCTAGCTATCCGATGTTCTTTGAGAACATCAATCCAAACTCAGGGCAACAGAGAGAAAATAGCGCAAATCAAAAGATCCATCGGACCTGAGTATGTATCAGTCTTTGCTTTCATCTTTCTCTGTTGAAGTCCATACTGCCAAATCTTCATGTTTCCACAACAAGATCAACAGCGCTTCAGACACATGCAATCTCGTCAAAACATTAAATTCTCTTTTCTGTCCCCCTCCACCACCTCCCACCACATCTTTAACAGCTGGTGATTTTGCTATTTTCTTCACAGACAAAACTAAAACCATTAGCAGTCAGTTCTCAGCTCCATGCACACAGGAACACAAACCAACCACATCCACTACTAAAACTCTTTTTTCCTCCTTCTGTCCCCTCACTGAGGCAGAAGTACCTAAACTTCTCCTCTCCAGCCATCCTACAACCTGCCCTCTAGACCCAATACCCTCACACCTTCTCCAAGCAATCTCTCTTACACTCTTACCAGCAATCACACATATCATCAACACATCTCTTCTTACAGGCATTTTTTCCCCACTGCATTCAAGCAGGCTCAGGTAACCCCACAGCTCAAAAAACCTGTCTCTCTCTTTCCATTCATAGCGAAAACACTTGAACGAGTCGTTTTCAACCAGGTATCATTATTTCTTTCACAGAATAACCAACTTGACATTAACCAGTCAGGTTTCAGAAGTGACCATTCAACTGAGACTGCATTACTGTCAGTCACTGAAGCCTTGCGGATTGCGAAAGCTGATACTAAATCATCAGTTCTCATTCGGCTGGATCTATCTGCTGCTTTTGATATTGTCAATCATCAGATCCTCCTGTCCACCCTCTCATCGCTGAGCATCACAGGGATTCCACTTCGCTGGTTTGAATCCTATCTCACAGGTATGTCTTTCAGGGTGGCCTGGGGAGGGGAGGTATCCAAAGCACATCAACTGGTCACTGGGGCTCCTCAGGGAATAGTTCTTTGACCCCTCCTCTTCTCCATATACACTGCATCACTGGGACCTATTATACATGGTTTCTCTGACCATTGCTATGCTGATGACACACAGCTCTATCTTTCATTTCAACTAGATGATCCAACGTTAGCTGCACGGATCTCAGACTGCCTGACGGACATCTCGGCATGGATAAAAGAACATCACCTACAGCTAAACCTGGCAAAGATTGAACTTCTCGTCTTCCCTGCCGCACCGACTCTACATCATGATTTCACCATCCAGCTAGGTTCATCAACAATTACGCCATCAAGTTCGGTCAGAAATCTTGGTGTAATCTTTGATGACCAGCTGACTTTCAAAGACCACACTGCAAAAACCGCTCGATCATGCAGGTTTGCATTGCACAACATCAGAAAGATCAGGCCCTTCCTAATGGAGCATGCTGCACAACTTCTTGTCCAGGCCCTTGTCATTTCTAGGCTGGACTACTGCAATGCTCTTCTGGCTGGACTTCCATCATGTGAAATCAAACCTCTACAAATGATTCAGAATTCAGCAGCATGACTGGTCTTCAATGAACCCAAAAGGGCCCACGTCACACCTCTCTTTATCTTCCTGCACTGGCTACCGGTTGCGGCTCGCATCAAGCTCAAGACGTTGATGTTTGCGTATAGAACAACCACGGGCTCAGCACCCTCCTATTTCTACTCACTCTTACAAATATACATCCTCTCCAGAAGCCTGAGATCTACAAGTGAGCAACGCCTCATGGTACCATCACAGAGAGGCACAAAATCACTTTCCAGAACATTTTCATTCACCGTTCCTGGCTGGTGGAATGATCGTCCCACCCCCATCCGAAATGCTGAATCCCTGACAATTTTCAAGCGACAGCTGAAAACTCATCTCTTTCATCAACACTTGACTGCATCCTCCTAGTATTAAAATAATAATAATAATAAAAATGTTGCTTTCTCTTCCCCTAATCCCCCCCTCTCTAGCTTGTACTAACCTGAACAATGTCTTTGTATTACAAGCCCTTCCTGTGTTTATTTGCCTCTTTATGATGAATTGCTTGTTGTATTCCTCAATTGTAAGTTGTTTTGGATAAAAGTATCCGTAAAAGTATCTGCAAGTATCTGGATAAAAGTAAATGTAAATAACATCAATGATGCAAGCTTATTAATTTATTGACAAATTCAAATTCTGCTGTAAAGCAGCTCTATAAAGACATAGGGTCCTTATTCAGCATTGAGTGAGTTCAGTGTTGATCTAGTCCAGTTCAATAACTGTGTAAGATTCATCAATTATAAAATTAATTTGATTAAGCTATAAAGCAGCTCTACAGAAGACAATAGTGTCACCATGAAGCTCAAGTTTTATTCTGATCTGATGTCAGTGCAGTCAAATCGATAATATTACTGAATATTAAGTATATTTTAACCCCAACTAAGCAAGCCATAGGCAACCATAAAGAGCACCCTAGCAGTCTAGTGTGTCAATGTTAAGGTGTAGACTGATCTAACTGACTGAAGCTCTGCCCATGGTTTTTAAAGAAATAATGCCCTCAAATGTGCAACAAGAGTGATTTACAGAGATAATGTGGAAGTCAAAACCAAAGCTCTCAATGGTTTCTCAGTGTTAACCACCTGCCGAGGTTCATTCGATTGACTGGGTTTATTGCATAACACATCTCTCTCATTCTCTCTCATACACACACAATAATATACAGTACAGTGCATATATAAAATATTTATCATTATACATTTTTTTTTTTTTTTACATTCCAACAAACCAGCCAAACATAATGTAATTGGTAACACTTTAAAAAGATGTATGATTTGTGAACTTTAGTTAGCTATATTAGTAAATATGAACAAAAATATTTATCATTATACTTTTTTTTTTTTTTTTACATTCCAACAAACCAACCAAACACCTAAAATCCTTCTAAGGGAAACCTGCATCACTGGATCATCACTAAGTTTCAATGAAACCTCACTTTGATTTCTCATTATAATATCAGTCCTACTGCCAAAGTCATAGTCACTCCCTTGTTTCTTTTTAGTTAAATATCACATTAATCAACGCCTTAATCTTTCCACCGAAACTAAAACTAAAACAGCTGATATCTGCCCTGGACATCCTGCTTAAGCTCGTAGCTGTTATTTGGAATATAGCTGGTTATTAGCTGGTTGACCAAACGAAGTGTTCCAAAACATCAGCTTGACGGTGTCCCCTGAAATGACCAACTGGTGGCTTGTTTCTTGCTGGTCCATGTTATTATACAACCCTACCCCCTTAAAAATAAAGGTTCCAAAAGGAGGTTTCCATAGAAATACCATAGAAGAACCATTTTGGGTACTCCAAAGAATATTTCAGTAAAAAAAAAAAACAAAAAAAAAAAACATGTTTTTATAAGTGTGATGAACATTTTAATAATTAAATAACCCTTTTCCACAATAAAAAACCTTTTGTGCAATGGAAAGTTTCCATGGATGTTAAAGGTTCTTCATGGTACCATAGATGCCTATAAAGAATTATATAAAGTGTATTTATGTTGGTGAAGAAATTGATTTCACAAACTCAAAAACATCTCATCTTGTACAGACACAAGAAAGATCTAGATATACACATACAAACACACACTTTTGCAAAAAATAACCTTAAGTAGTCTCAACAGGCTGACGTGTATATGGTGAAACAGACTTAGGACTTTATTTGGAAACGTGTTGAAGTTCATTTACGCAAGACAAAAAGAGCCTGTGAGCACTTATCTGTCTGCTGGTGGACGAGGAACAGAATATAAAAGACTCTATCATAGTGTATTATCACATTAAGAGCCCAGATAGGAGCTTTACTAATTCTTAAATGTCAGACAGTTGATCAAAGTCAGTGAGTTTGTTTAATGTGATCAATCAGTATGTCTATTTGTGTGAAGAGCCATTTTTTTTAAACAGGTAATCTCATTTTAGTCTTTCTTATCTAACAACAAACTCCAGCAAAAAGTACAGCCCCACATAAACACACACACACACACATAACATTTATCTGAGACGGTTGCACTTTGGCTCTTGAGTTATCAGGTCAATAAATCTGTACCCATATATAAGATAGGCCAAAGAGTTTTTGCCGCTAACCCGTCTGACACACTTTCAGCAGAGGAGAAACTGTGAGTACAGCCATATTTTCCCTCTTCTATTAAAGGGCATTAAAAAAATGTTCAGATATTAGAACAGATTTTAGGATTCTTGACTGTTTAGCATCTATGAATCCATAAACCTGCTGAATTCCTAAAACGCACATGACGTAAGTCTGTATAGAGGACTGTACAGATAATATTGCTGCATTTAGTATGTTTTGAAGCCTCAATGTTATTGCAAATATAATACATAATATACATACGGTTTTCTTAAACATTATGATTTTTTCACTACTTTTATTAAATGAGCAAATGGTAGCTGTCTTACAAAAACAAAGAAAACTAATAATAGATTAAATAAATAAATCTAAAATTGTTTTATGCCACTAAAAGTGCTTCATCAGTAAAAGCATAATCTATTGTAACAGCATATACAGTATATGCTTTTTATAGCCTATTGATTACTAACTAAGTGACTGCATGCACTAAAAATAAAATAATACCCTCTGGTGGCCACATTTATATTCTCATACTTGGACTGCTGTCATCTGACCAGTGTTTTACTAAATCCCTCAGAGATACCTGCCATTATGAACAAGCTACTGGTTATCACGGTTGTCATTGCTCTCCTTGCTCTGGGTATGTACAGACACACATTCATATACATACTTAGTTTTAATTTTTATTATGTATGCTTTGCTGCTAATGAAGTAACATAAAATGACAATGAAACATGAAAATAAAGAATGATTTTTTAAAAACTCATCTCACTCCCTCAAATGTTGGCTCGCCCCTGTAGGAGCAGAGAGCTTCCGCGTGCCCAGGCAGGCTGAGGAGGAGAAGGGAACCATTGCCACTGTGGTGAACACACTTAAGTCCTACTATGACCAGAGTGTTGACACTGCCAGCGGCTATGTAGAGACCATCAAGGGCTACAAACTGGATGAGAAAGCCAAGTAAATCTAATTTTATACATTACCTTAGTCCGTACTTACAAACATTCCCTTCTGGGCTTTTAGACACAGGCACATGTGTAGCTTCCTATTACAATACATGGACAATGATGAGATTTTAACAAAATAGTTCACCCCAATAATGAAAATTTACTGAAAATATACTCACACTCAGGCCATCCAAGATGTAGACGAGTTTATTTATTCATCGGAAGAGATTTGGAGAAATTTAGCATTATATCACTTGCTCACACATGGATCCTCTGCAGTGAATGGGTGCCGTCAGAATGAGAGGCCAAACGGCTAATAAAAACATCATAATAATCCACAATCATCACAACTCCAGTCCATCAATTGATGTCTTGTGTAGTGAAAAGCTATGTGTTTGTAAGAAGTGTTTATAATAAAGATCAATGCATTTTTAAACTTCAAACCATTGCTTCTGGCTAAAATACGAGTCCTCTATCCATAATATTGCTTTCCTCAGTGAAAAAGTAATTTCGTCTGAATCAGGAGAGAAATATGGACAGATCAAGAAGATTTTACAAGCAAAAACAGTCCAGAACAGTTCTAAACAAGAATGTTGAGGAGATGGAGTTTTTCACTGGAAGAAATATTATAATGGTTTATGAACTTTTGTAGCCAGAAATTTGGCCAGCTTTTTCACTACACAAGATATTAATTTATGGACTGGAGTAATTTTGAATATTTGTGGATTATTTGGGTGTTTCTTACCAGCTTTTTGAACTCCCATTCTGACAGCACCCATTCACTACAGAGGATCCATTTGATGAGCAAGTGATGTAATGCTAAATTTCTCCAAATCTGTTCCAATGAAGAAAGAAACTCATCTACACCTTGGATGCCCTGAGGGTGAGTACATTTTTAGCAAGTTGTCATTTTTAAGTAAACAATTCCTATCAAGTTCCTGAAAATGACGAATTTTGTTCTGACATTTTGCCTTTCCTCCCTCATCAAGGAACCTGTATGAAGACACAGTTCGAGCTGTCAGCACCTACACTGGCATCTTCAACGACCAGCTATACCACATTTTGTACCCTCAAGACAGCTCCTAAATCACATAGTATCACACCTCAACAAGACTTCAACTCTTTCTGGTCCTGAGTCCGTCACCACACTTGAACCACAATCGTATGTATCCCACAAGGCGGCGGCACAGTCTGAGGTGAAAACGTGACTGTTGAACTCTTGTCTCCCAATGGCCTGTTACCTTTGCTCTGTCAAAATACTGCAAAAGCTCATAGCACCCTGACACACATCAGTGGATAAATATGATGTGAAGTTCTGGGGTAAAATCAGGTATAATGCTCAAAACAATCTGTTTTTGGATGAAGGTTAAAACAGAATCATCGACTATTTCATTGTAGTTTACCTGTACAGATTAAAGAAACCCTTGTATTATATCAACTTTTAGTGGTTCTGTGTCCATGAGCATTCACAAATTGCAATAAAACTCCACATTTGTAGAAAATCATGTTGTTTTCTTTGCTTGTGAGCCTTTACATAAGCCAAACCAGATAACAGATCTAAAATATAGAAACTCTAAGTACCAATAATCTGGAAGCTTAAGTGCTACAAAATATCCAAGTTTTAACACTGCCAATAAGAATTATTTGTAATTGGATTCATTTCCATGGCATCTGCAAATAAAAGCCTTTTTAGCGGGATCAAAACGGTCATTAGCAATTGTTTACATTAGGTCTTTCGACTGAATACAAACAATCTCTCTCTCTCAATCTCTCTCTCTCTCTCTCTCTCTCTCTCTCTCTCTCTCTGAGGAGGAGACTGGTTAATCAGTTAATAAGTACAATTTGTCACGACTGACTAATTGAGGAATTTCAGTTTAATGAGCTTTTTTAATGAAATGACCTTTTAGTATCATGAGCTGGTGTTCTTGATTTAATAAATCAGAGAGAAAAAAAACACACAAAATAAGTCTGTACATCTGGCATCAGACATTGTTGAAACAGATAAGCTGTAACAAATAATGATTATGCAACATCAGATGAACTTTTTCAACCTTTAACTATGCTGGAAATGAAACAGCAAAACATTCCTCATGTACCCATCCACATATCCGAGAACAAAAAAAAGGGGTATTCAAGACCTAGAATTATTTTTATTTATGTATTTATGGTTACTTTACTGAACATTCTGTGACATTTTTATTAGATATAAAGTATAATAAATGACACAACAAACTGTGTCAGTACCAAAAGTTCTATAATCATCATCAAGACAAGGCTGCATTTATTTGATAAAAATGTTGTGAAATATTATTACAATTTAAAACAACTAAACATATTTGAAAATGTAAATAATTGTGATTTAGGTTTTAGCAGCCATTTCAGTGTTGCATGATCCTTCAGAAATCTTAATATGTTGGTATGTTGCTTCATTTCTTATCAATGTTTTAAAGTTGTGCTGCTTAATATTTTTGTGGAGAATCATTTCTACTATCTAGCATCATTACAATCGTTTAGACGTATAGCCTACACAACAATACAGTCACAAATCTGGACATAAACCCGTGGAGGTTCCAGACACTCCATATGAAACACTGGAACCTTGTAATCATGCTCTCTATACACACTCATTTTAGGTTTAAATATTTATAGTCACCAGGTTTGCACAAACAAAGCTAGGGGCAGAAAGAAAGTGGTCGGCCTTGGCACACAGCAGGCATTGTACTTTGCTCCAGGGCAACAGCTGAATTCAGATGAGAAGCGTTCTGACAGGGATTCAAACCAACAACCTTCCTGATTAGCCACCTGCCACCTCGAAAATACAATAAACTATCATCTATACTTTCTACTAAGATTTGATTGATTTCAGACCTCCTGTCAGTGTCATTATCACAATTATGATATCAAAATACAATTGTGGTATTAATCCAATTCTTTTGATTATATTCATGATTAGAATGAGATTATTTGGATATTTAAAACCATTTCATTTACCCATATTAGCAATATCACAAGCACATTCAATGAATTCTATCAAAATCTTAAATCTGTTTAATAACAGAATCTAAAGAGTGTTTGGACACAAGTGAGTTTTAAATGCATTTATTAAGTCTGATAAGTAAAACAAACATGAATGTACTCTAATAAAATTGTGCAACAGTGACATTTAATTATTAACTAATGTGGGGGGGGGGGGGCCCCACAATTTTGGGTTTTTTTTTTCAATAAA